GAGCAAAGTTTTGCTCAAGGTAATACAGAAATGGCTGGTAGCGTAGTAGTTATGAATCGAGCTGCTTACCTCAAGATCTGCAGCTTGAAACCACCAGCTGTTCTGCGGGAGAAAGAGACTCATCACTTTTTAAAGATTGCCAACCTCTGTCCCAGACTTGCAAAAATGATGTCCAAGTCACCATGTGTATGGTTAGCATTGCCCATTGTAGTTTCAGAGGGGCCAGAAGAGTTGTTCTGAGCATGTGTTCCATGTTGTCATGCAATCTGAGTGTAACTATGGAGCTGGCCCACTGTAAGAAAGCCCTTTATGAGGTCATCATCCCATCTTTGCCAGATCTCCACCAACAGAGACATGCAAGCTTTTCAAAACACTTGACAAGCTATCATGTTTCAATTTGTAAACCCTCTTTTAAGAAACATCATTATCAGAAATCAGCTGGATAGCATCAAGAGGAAGCAATGCCTCCAATATTTGAAAGCCCTGAGAACCCTGCAATATGATGGGTTTAAGACTGTATTCTTTGGGGAGACTGATCTCCCAGAAAGCCTGGTAACTGGGGAAGATTGTGGTGATGAATGTTTCATGCAAAGTCCAACTTGGTGTATTGTGCATGCTGGCAGTAGTCAAGGATGGGTACCTTGGAAATACCGGCTGTTCCTACGAGATGAGTTATGTGTCAGGCAAGAAGAAGGCCTTTTCTTTGAGTTCTGTCATGTGGTAAAGATGGCCTATGGGAAGTGTGCTATCGTGGTCAAAGAGCGAAGACAACAGGATGAGATGAGGCCAAAGGAAGATAAAGAGTCTGAGGACCAGCCCTGTGCTCCATCAATCATTAACTTAACAAGCATCGTGTGTTGTCCTGAGGTGGCCAAGTCCTGTGGCCATGAGCTGCTCTCTCTGCCTTTTCCTTACAATTACCTGAACCCTTTAGACTCAGCCTGGTCCTCTCTGAAATGGTTTATCATCAATAACAGAAAAGAGTTTTGTTTGCAGTCTATTGACAACATATATTCTTACCAATATATACTTTTTAGTGACTTGGTTAGCAAAGGGATTGAAAGGATAACCCCAGACAAGTGGAAAACTATAACTAACAAAGTGCGAAGATGGGAAAACTACTATCTTGGTAAATTTTCTTAAGTGTGATTCTTCTAACCAATAGTGAGACTCTGCTATGTGTCTGCAAACTCTTTTTGAGCTAGAGCCCAGGCCACTTCAGCCAAAGAAACTTCCAAAGCAACCTCTCAGGGATGTGGCAAGGAGTAAGAAGTTTCTAAAGATGTTGACAAAGTTTTTTGAATTTACTGGAGGAATTATTAAAGCTTGTCAGCAAATGAAGGGCCTGGAGTCTCATCTTCTTAAGGCCACTTTGAGAGCTGTGGGAAAATTAGGGCTAATCTAGCTCAAATGAGGATGGTTGTTGTTATTTAAAGCCATCAAATAGGTTCTGACTCAGAGTGACCTAGAATAGGGTTTCCGTGCAGTGGCTGGTAGGTTTGAACCGCTGACCTTGTGGTTCAAATCCACCTTGCAGTCCAGTGCTTATCCCACTGTGCCATACCAGGATTCCACAAATGTCTGCAAAAGCAGAATACCTCAGCTTTCTCCCATGGAGCAGCTGGTGGGCACGAACTGCCAACCACAATTGTGACTCACCATCCAGTGCTTATGATACCAAGTCACTGGGCTCCACATTTAAATGAGGATGGTGATGGGGATGAATTAAGAGTATATTATGGATTGGATTATATTCCCGCAAAATATGTATTGAAATCCTATAAATCTGTAAAGATGACCCAATTTGGAAACAGGGTTTTCTTTTGTTATGTAAGTGAAGCCATGCCAAAGTGGTGTGGGCCCTAAACCTAATCCCTTTTGAGTTATAAAAAGTAATTGTCACAGAAACATGCAGGGGAAAGACAGCAAGGAACAACAGGCAAAGCCGAGGGATTCAAAGTGTTCCAGGCAGGGAAGATCTCCGTGTGCCTTCTAGCCTCTTAAATTAAGAAAATAAATTTTGGCAGTACTAGGTAAGACACAGTGTGGTCAAAATTTAGGACTGAAAACAAACCGAACTAGCAACCAAGGAAAAATTCAGAAATTAAATAATGTTCCAACTAGTTTCAGCCCACCAAAATTATCCACAGGAGCCAGACATTGTCTAGAGTGTGATGAATAAGACTCTTCCCCTCCTGTGACTTGTAAGCAAGGGGGTGAGGGAGAAGCATCCAAGAAGGCTATATTCCCTTCTGATCCTCCAAGGCCAGCTGATTGTCCCAAAGACAGTCCTGGAACAATATGTTGTTTTTGGCTCAAGAGGGGACTTGGTACATGAATAGGTGGAATGAAAGGGAATGTGTAGAACTCACCCATCTGATCCATTTTCCATCCTAACTGCAAAAATCTCAATAGCAGAGCATTAGATTTTGCCATAGAATCGAATCTCGGGACCCTGAGATAATCGAGCTGCATTCAGCTGGTAAAATAACACCATATTCAAACTTGGGACTGCTGCTAATGTAAGTTATAAGGATTTTATAGAAAAAGAGCTGAATCCAATTTAACGTATAAAACCCATTCTCATTTATGTGTTTCTGACAGTAATTTTGTAACATAAATCATCCTTCTGAGGTATGTAAAAATTAACTTGCAAAGCTTTCCTACTTAACTCCTAACAGACTTAGCTATTTGAGGGGTGTGAGGCTCTCAAATAACTTCTCAAATTTGAGGTTCTTGATACCCATGTGCAGAAAGCACCATATATTTATAGGTGATCTTTGCTTGTCTCCACCCCGTTTTCCTCCTGCGTCTTCCTGTATAATTCAGGAGTACTTAGATTAGAATAGATGTTGAATGCTTTTCAAAAATGGAATAATGGATTTCGTCAGCACTTTATTATTGTTAAAAAAGCAATCCTACTATGCATTTTATCTGGGGATGAAATGCATCCCAAACACACATTGAAACCACAGGGTCTCAGTCATTATAGAGTTCACTTTACAGCCAAGGGGGCTGTATTAGTTTTCTGTAACTGCTATAACAAATCACCACAGACTGAATGGCCTATAACAGTGGGCATTTAGTCTCTCACAGCTCTGGAGACCAGAAGTCTGAAATCAGCATCACTGCATTGAAATCAAGCTGTTGGCCAAGCCACATTCCCTCTGGAGGCTCTAGGGAAGAATCTGTTCCTTACTTCTTCCAGCTTCTGGTGGCCACCAGCATTCCTTGGCTTGTGGCCACATCATTGTAATCTCTGCTTCTCTGGTCGCATTACTTTCTCCTCTTCGATGTCAAATTTCCCTCATAGAAGGATACTTGTGGTTATGTTTAGGGTCCAAATTTAGGGCACACCTGTGTAATCCAAAATAGCCCTGGTAGTGTTAAGGGTTATGCATTGAGCTGTTAACCACAAGGTGGGTAATTTAAACCCTCCAGATGTTTGTGGGGAAAAAAATGAGTCTGTCTGCTCCCATGAAAAGTTACAGTCTCAGAAATCTTATACAGAGTCATTATGAGTCAGAATCTACTTGATGACAATGAGGAAATTGGATAATCCAGGATTCTATTCCCATCTCAAGATCCTAACTTCATCTTATCTTCAAAGTCTCTATTGCCAAATAAGGCTCCAGGGAGTAGGACCTGGATATCTTTGAGGACCGTAACTCAAACTACCACAGGTGCTAAAGAAAGTCTTGTTCTGTCAGTTGAAGTTGTACATTCTCTATTGGGAGTTATTTGAAGATATAAAATATTTGTGTGATCTTTTTCTCTATCTGGCTCATGTATGTTTTAGGATTTAGTTTCCTTTAGAGAAGGCAATAGAACTCAAACCTCCTCAGTCACTTTAATGTGCTGGCTTTGTACAAGTCTAAATGTAGGTGGCCTGAGTTTGGGGATATGAGTGGGGTTTGCCCCTATATCACATCTATTACTCACTTACCCAGAGTTCTGTAGTGATGGGTGCTAAGAACTCTAACGTGTGCCTGACATCCTTTGTCAACACGCTTAACTCACACTGGCCTGTGCTGTAGAAACTGCATCTCCCTTTCACAGATAGGGGACACCAAGGCATAAAGAGATTATATAGCTTGCTTCTGTGTGAAGGAGCAAAGATGAGGACCCAAGAATTCAGGCTGTCTCTCTATAATCAGCATGTCATCTAATTCTCATGACAGACTGAAGAGGTAGATTCTCTATTATTTGCTCCAAAATGAGGAAACAGCCATATAAAGGTCAGCAGGGCCAACCAGATTCTAAGACCTATACTCCTAACCATGCTAAGCTTGGTCATTGATGTTCAACAGTTTCTTTTTCATTCCCATAATTCACATGGCACAGGCTGGAGTCCAAGGGTCCTGGAGTGGTGCTGTAGGATAAAACACTGGACTGCTAGGTCGGTTTGAACCATGAGATTGGCAGTTCAAACTCACCAGCCACTCCTTGGAAACCCTATACAGGGCCATTGTGAGTCAGAACAGAACAACAACAACATACTGGAGTCCAACATCCAACCAGATACTATCTGGCAAAATGGCCATCACCAACTCGATGCCACAGCAAAAGTGTCTTTCAGCACAAAACTGAGTCAGAGCAGGATGTGTTTTACAAAAGACATTTTACAGTGAAAAAAAGATGCACATTTTTCTAGGTTATTAGATTTACAAGATAAACCAACAGAAGTCACTTTTGTTAGAAAATCAGAACAATCTACTAAAAGGGGGGTACGAGTCTATCCCTTGGAGACCTGGCTTAATTAGTAGAAAAGCAAGTTGGGGAAAGAGAGATCAAAAGGGCTACTTTTAATTTGCAATTTTGTTACATAATATTGTATTCATAATGAAGCGTTGCTTCATATTAGACATGGAAGTTTCCAGAAGAAAGTAACACTGGGCTTTGGGAATGGGGTGGACCTAGCTGGAATCTTAATTTTCCAGTTTATTAACTATGAGACTTTGGACAAGTGACTTCACTTCCTGGGGCTTAATTAACGCATTAGTAAAATAGGGATGAGGGCTTGAAAAGCCTTGGATGACCATTATATGGTGTCTGACACCCAGTTAGTTATCCAATAAACTGAAGCTTGTGAACAAGTCTGAGGCTGAAGGAAATGTGTCCATAATATCAGTGACCTGGTTTCCTTTTGACTCTTTGAGAAAATGTTAGCTTTTATCACCAGGATACTATAATTGTAGACACTTCTTAAGATACTTTGATCAAAGGAAACTGTTCTATGGCTTGTCTGTTAAGACCATCTGCAATAGTGTGTTGTTGTTGTTGTTAGGTGCCATCAAGTCATTACCGACTCATAGCGACCTTATGCACAATGGAATGAAACACTGCCCATTCCTGGACCAACCTCACTATTGTTGCCACGCTTGAGCCCATTGCTGCTGCCATTGTGCCAATCCATCTTGTTGGGGGTCTTCCTCTTTTTCTCTGTCCCTCCACCTTACCAAACATGATATCCTTCTCTAGCAACTGGGCCCTCCTGACAATATGTCTGAAGTATGAGAGATGAAGTTTGGCCATCCTGGCCTCCAAGGAGCACTCTGGCTGCACTTCTTCCAACACAGATCTATTGGTTCTTTTGGCAGCCCATGGAATTTTCAATATTCTCCTCCAACACTGTAACTCAAAAGCATCATTTCTTCTACGGTCTTCCTTAGTCACTGTCCGGGAGTGGGGCAAAGTGGATAGTGATTATAGCTCAGAATCACTTTGGGAACAGCCACATTTTGCAAACTGTGTGGGTGGGTGACAATACGCAGCAACACAGGGTTAAGCTGCACATTTGTGGACAAGTTCTCTGGGAGAGAATGCATGATGTTGGCTATGCTGTTCTCCTGCTGAGCCGCTGTGCTGAAGGAACCACACGCCATTACCCCTGGCCCTTGCCATCAACAGCCACATCCTAACCCTTCCTACAGACCACAGAATTCCAGAGAGGTGGTGCATTAGAGATGGTACTGCCCTTGGACTGTCTCAGAGGTAAATAAGCAAGTGGAGCTGAATACCCATTGGCTCTGACCTGAGGAAATTCCTGCCCCATTTAGTCATGGTAAATGTATGTTAGGCAGAGAATGTGGACAAGGGTGAGGGATGTGGGAAGAAGGGTAAGAGATGGGGAGATAAAACCC